GCGCCCCAAAGACAATGTTTTCTCTGATCGTCTCGTTCTGCACCCAGCCCTCTTGCGCCGCGTACGCCACGCCGCCGCCGGAAGGTAGGTTGAACCACGCGGCGGGAGTCTGAGGGACGAAATGCAACTCGCCGCAGAGCGCAAGGAGGAGCGACGTCTTACCGCACCCCGTTGGGCCGACGACGAGGTTGAGCGCGCCGGGAACAAATTGCAGAGAGCCAGAAACGCGGAGGGCAAAGTCGCGGCGACCTGCACGTGGCGTCGACGACCGACCTGATCGACTTTGCGATGACGAATCCGACGCTGTCCACGAAAAGGAGGAATCTTGGAAGCCGGTCACTTGCTGGTCAGGAGCGGAAAAGACATCCTCGTCTGCGCGTTGGAGGTGGGCGTAACGGTCCAGAAGTTCAGTCTTGCGACACCGATAAGCAGTAGAAAACCGTGGTGAAGACATGACTCACAGATCGAAGAAAGGCGCTCAGGCGGTCAAGGGAAACCTTGGCTTCACGAGTCGTCAGGTCCTAGGTATGTGGACAGCGACCGACTGACCTTGGATGACGGCTGGTACCATGGAGCCTACCATACGGAATTGTTCGCGAAGCATTTCGAATACGACCATGCTCGAGAATACGCGCGACGCAGTGAGTTGCCCTCCAAGAATCATTGTATAGGTGGCATATGCAACGATCATAGTCACCAGCTGAACCGGTGTGAACATGCGGGCCTCAGGAAGGGCAACGAACGACGCACCGGCATTGCGAAGCTATGAGAGAGACGTGTAAGCGATACGGTATAGAGGTCCGCGCAACGACTACGCACTTTAGGTTCATGTTGATGAGCGTCATGGTCCTCGTCTTCCGGATCCATGTCAATTCGTCCTCTCGCTTCTCTGCTATACGCTCCTTGATCTTGCGTTCCCACGCAAAAAGTTTGATCATACGGAGAAGACCCACGACTGCATCGTCATGAGTACGTCGACCCCCCAAAAGAAAGCTGTTTCGCACCTTCAGTCACTTGCTGGACCCGCGCATCCGTCTTCTTCGCGCGCTCCTTTGCAGTCTGGTTCACCTTCGCGGCGACGAATCCCGGAATGGGAAACGTGACGACCATCGCGGCGAGGCCCGCAAACGAGCTGGTGGAGGATGAGTGAAAGTACGACGCTTGGCGTTATGCTGGAACGCACGCAGCACCGAGAACTTCATACAGGAACCAGACGCAGATGATGATTTGCAGCGGGCAGTATATCACTGGAAGCCAACTTCAGCAAGAAGATATTGCTGTGGCAGAGTAGCGTACCGAGGAAGAGGAAGTCGCGCGCCTCTACGATGTTGTTCAGATCGGTGGTGACGAGGTTGTTGATCTTCCCAACGAGATTATCAGCCTTGCGGGCCGTGCTGCTCGGCACTTTCGTCTGTCCATTTGAGCCTTCAGCAGCGCTGCCTGTGCGCACCGTCTTCACAGCTGGGACCGCCTCTGAGGTGTTGGAGCTCTCCAAGTTGGACTCACTCTCGACATCAGTGTGCAGCGTCTCCTCTTTCACCCGTATCCGCAATGCGTGCTCAAACACAAGCTGCGTCAGGATGGACTCTGCTTGGACAAGCATGCGCGTCGCGACGAAAGCATAGCACTCGAACACGAGGCTGCTGAGGAACGGGCCCAGGAAGAGCCAGATTATCCATACCCACGGCCGTACCACAGCACCCTCGCCGTCAGATTCGATGAACGTGAGCAGGCGGTTGAGTCCAATTGGCGCAAGAAACGACACAGGTACACGCAGTGCAGTGGTGACCGCGATGAAGATGTACTCGGAGCGGAAGACCCGCAGAAGGCGAAAGACAAGATGGCGCGGTTTGCTTGCGAAGGAGGCGGATTCGAAGGGGTCCAGCTCCTAAAGATTGAGTGAGCGACCGTTCGCGCAATATCATCGAGGGACGTACAGGAAACGCGCGCTGTCGCAAGTGCTCTGCACTGTCGTAGTCTGCCAGCACAGGAAGATCCTCGTACGAAAGGTGTAAAGAGCTGTAGCCCTTCCAGATGAGGGGATCTAGTAACGAGAAAGTCACGAAACTGAGCCACGACGCTGTCTCCTCTGGAGGTACATGTTCGTTCTGTATCGAGGCGCCAATCGGGATGTATGTGTGCGGAATGCACACTGGGACGACCACGGCTGCAACAGACAAGACTGCGACTTTGAACCAAAGTAGTGGGTCTGCCGCGTCGAGAGGGACCAGCGTATAGGTCGCTAATGGGTACATATCGCGTGCAACGTAGACGAACCAGGTCGACAGGAGTGTCACACATAGATGGAGCTGAGTGTTGCGACTTGACCGCGGGGTCGTAAAAAGCGTATACATGCTCAGCGCTGAAGAATAACCCTGGGTTTCATATCAGCTCCAGAACCAATATGACAAGAGGCCACGCACATAAGTCGCGAGGAGCGCAGCACCAGTCCACGATAGGCGGGTAGTGTGTAAAGCCGTAGTATGCGTGGACCATTGGAAAGCGCTAGGTGCGTGCCACGCGACGTCATGTCCACCATCGGGCCTTTCGTCCTTTTTGTCAAGCGCTGACAGCACAACCAGTACCAGGCAGGCAAGCAAACGCGCGAGCTGCCAACAAAAGATATTTGCGCCGCCGACGCGGTGCGCTGCGAACTTCAGCCTCTGAACTGAACCAGCACGTCGCTCAGTGGAACACCGCGTATTCTCGCTGAGCGGGGCAGAGAATATGCGTTGAACTCCAAGCAAGACGACAGAGGTCGCGGCCGCGCAGGCTGGGAAGTACAGCGAGCGCGCACTGAACCAGTCCCTGCGAGCGGTCAGAGGGTGCTCAAGCCAGTACGAGCGCGGTGAACTTACAGCGACATAGTTCTGACCAAGCCGCGCTCAGTACGGTCTTAATAGCAGCCGGTATGAAGATCTCGGTTCGCAGAATTGGCTTCCGTGCACCGCAAAGCCGCTCTCCGTCTCTGCGCAGTCGTCAGGCTGCTACACGCGCCGACCCATAGGAAGTCTTTTCCATGAATCGCTCCTCGAGAGTCTCATCTGTGGGTGCCTGGCCAAGTCGCCGGACAAGCAGGAACCAAACGCGGTTAGATCTCCGATAATTGGACTCTTCTCACTGAAACCATGATGAGGGTCGGCAAGAGTTCTCTATACGACACAGTTACGGCACAGGCCCTCCGCGACGTATATGGCGCGGCATGGGGTAAGCGAATTAACGAGGGGGGCTTATACGAGCGTGTTGCAGTTCCCATGCCAGTCTCGTCGTCGGACGCCAGCTCGTCCGAAACGTACTTATACGGCGACGTTCCTGCGTCTCGCCGGCATCGAGTACTTCACTCAACTCGTGCGCGCCGAGAACCACACCGTCTTGAAAGCGGTTGAGGAGGCAATTGCTCGCGTCACACCGCCAGACCGTTATGGATCGTCTATCGTCTGCGGCCAGGCTGGCGTGGGCAAATCGATGTGCCTACGATTCGTCCTTGTAGAGCGACTACTTGACAGACGACCTACCATCTACCTCGACGAGGCCGCCCGCGTGCTCGCACTTTATACCGCGTCCGGTTGTCGCGTCTGGCGGGTCGCCCCGGATGGCAAGTTGTGTGAATTGCAATCACCCCAAGTCTGGTTCCTGCTTCACTAATGGGCAGGGGACGACGCCAACGTTTCCGACCCAGTCGCCGCAGACCTTTGGGCGGGTGATCCCCAGACGACTGCTGCACTAATCGACAGTGATCCAGGCCGGCCTCACCCACCGTTATGGCTCGTCGCTCGTGGTAACCCATGGGCCAACGTGCAGGCGACATCAAGCCCTCCTCTTGACTATCTGATCAACAACGCCTGGACGTGCCAGAACCGGGCGGATAGGATATGGATGGATACCTGGTCATGGCCGGAGGTGTACGCTGCGTGGTGCGTTCCAGTCTGACTCGACCCATTCCATGATCACGTCCTCAATGCTACCCCAGTCTCCACCTGTATCAGTTCGACGTTGAGCGTCTTGAACGCGCGCGCCAGATTTTCTACTCTGCGACCCCATCGCTCGAACATTGTGTCGAGTTCTCTCTATCGGACACCACCGTTCAAGAGCTTCGCCGGCAGGTTACAGAGTTGGCTGTGTCCTTCGTAGCGTCGCCAAACGGTCTCTATCTGGCCCCCGTACTCATAGACCAGACCGACAGTCCTCGACGAGACCAAGATCGAAGATCCCACTCTCTGTTCGATCCTTCCGAGGACTTGGCGTCCGTTGGCAAAGAATCTGTGCGTGCCACATGGTTATACGGCGTCCCGGAGCGAGACCATGACGACTAGCTCTGGCTGCACATCCTTCGGCAACGTCTCACCAGAACGTGTCGTCCGACCTTTAATTTCATCATGTTCCCGCGGCGTATCGATGCTCCAGGATACAGCGTCGCGCGGTATTCGGCAGCCCGACTGGAGCTCTCTGGCTCCGACGTTCGCAGTGCCATCGAGTGCGAGCTTGCTAAGAGGGGCACCGCACATTGTCCTCGATTTCGTGGGCCTTTGGTCCGGATCGGCACATCTGCGTCTCGTCGATAAATTTTGCAAACCCTCCTTCTGCCTCCGCATTGCTTACGATGCCGACTCCTGTATAGTACTCATGGACTCCGGAGCCCTGACAACTCAGTACTCAATCACCAAATCGATGCGGTAGAGAGACTAAGTAGAACCGGCTGACATAGACAACAGTGTGCAGAAGAGAGAGATACTCTGACTAAAATGAGTCCGGTCATCTGAGCGCACGACATGACCGCTTCTGCAAGTTCGAGTTACGATTACTAGTGCTACGTCCGAAGCGCCTACGATTACTAGTGACACCGATTTAATCGAGTTCTCCATCGGATTCGGCCTCTGTTACTGCCCGATCAAGCCGCTTGTCGCGGGTCACCGTAGCGAAAAATTGCGAGACCGACCGAGAAACGTCACGAAGGAGAACGTAAACTGGGCTAAAAAAATACAGGCAAAAGTTGAGCTTACTGACCACGGCAGGGATCGAACCTGCAATCTTCACCTTAGGAAGGAGACGCGTTGCCATTACGCCACGTGGCCTGCGATAGTAAGATAGATTGTGCAAATATAAGCGTTTGTGCCGCCTACATACCCACTTGTGCGGTCGATCGCGGAGTGCGATATTGACTCAACCGCACGCCTCACGCACGCCGTCGACTCAAGCTTTTTCCAGTGTAAGCACTCTATAATACCTGGGGGTCGTTGCTGACGTTCCGCAGACCATGAACCGCTCGCAGTTTTACCTGTCGCACTGTGCAGACGCCGCGGAGAAGTCGCCGATGTGTTTTACGCTGGGCGCTGTGCTGGTCAAGGGCGGGAAGGTGATCAGTAGTGGGTTTAATCACCACCGACCGCACTACGACGGGGCGGAGGCGACGCGACGTGGCCACAGTCGCAAGCCCGTGTCGATGCACGCCGAGATGCACGCGATCTACAACGCGACTGGCATGTCGCCCGCGTTCAGGCAGCAGGTTCAAGGCAAGAACGCTGCTGCTGCTCGGGGCGAAACCGGGGCCCCCGGCAGCGGCAGCTACGCCAGCGACGACTGGAGCGACGCTGCCTCGTCGACGTCGTCCAAAGGCGAAGAACAGTGGCGGGTTTCAGGGCCCGAACGAACACCAGCAGCACTACAACAACAGCCAGGGGAAACACCAGAAGTACCGCACCAAGTCGTCCAAGTACGGACGACCGTACAAGGCGTGGACCGGGAGCCCCGGGAGCGCCGGCAGTGGCGCCAAGTCGGCCTCGGGCGGGACCACCAGCAGCAGCAGCAGCAGCGGATCGTCTGGCCCGGTGTCGCCGTCGCTTCCGACGCCGTTGCTGAACTGCGCGAGTGACTCGAAGCGGTGGGACATCCGGCGTCGGGAGTCGCGGGTGAACGGGGCGGACCTGTACGTGGCGCGGTTCACGAAGCAGGGATTCGGGACGGCGTGCCCGTGCTGGAGGTGCATCGAGTGGTGCCGGTGGGCGGGGGTGAAGCGCGTCTTCCACTGGGACGCGGCCAAGAATCGGTTCGAGGTGATCAAGGTCAACGACGCGTACAAGTGCGCCTATGAGACGCACGCCGACGGTCGTTTGTTTTCTGGCACGGTGCGTAATATCTTTTGGTAGTGAATTACACCCGACTAATTACACTTTACGCAGTGTTTCTAATAGTACATGTATCGTGGAGAGTGTTCAGTGTGTAGAGTGTAATACATGTTTCGAGTTTAGACGCCCGTGCAATGATGTCGCCCAGTTTTGGGAGTCCGGGATCGTTCCATGCCTTGTCCCATGCCACAATGCTGTCCACTCTGAGCAACCTGCTCCCCTCGCTCACCGCCCACGACGCCCAGGACAAGCCCGCAGACGACGACCGCGCCGAGCCAGAGTCGGCGACGCGCGAGCCAGAGCCCAGGCCAGATGAGAGCGCGCGCAAGGTCAAGGAGCGTGCACGACCGCAGAACGAGGTGCGCAGCGCGCGCAACTTCCATCTCGCGCGTTCCGCAGCTCACAGCGGGCCTAGACGTTCATCGTCGTGCGACCGCCGCCCAAGATCTCGAACCACCCGCTGAATCTGCAGCTGCAGCTCATCCCGCCGGCGACGACGACGCATGCAAAGGACCGCTCCAGCAACTCGACCACCTCCCGCCGCTCGATGGACTTTACGGGTTCTACGCCCGACGTCGTCCCAGAGCCCGCAGAACCCGCGGAGCAGCAGCAGGAGGGCGGGCTGCGACGGACGCCGTCCATCGGGTCGAGTCGCTCGGACACGACCTCGCTCTACTCGTCCGCGTCGTCCGTGGGCTCCATGTCCTCGCTCTCGTCATCGGGCTCGTCCAGACGCATCGTCGTTCCGCTCTACAACCTATCCGCACATAACGTCATGACAAACGCCGTTCTCGACGCAGGCACAGACGCAAAGATCGCAAAGTTCCTCAAGCGCGGTCTCGAGCTCATCGACCTCTGCGTTATCGAGCCTGTCGAGATGTGGAGCTCGCCCGGACACGTCAACGACAATGCTTCCCTCGTGCTCGCCGAGCGTGTTGGCAGCCCGGTTCCGTCGATGGAGTCCTCGGAGCAGCAGCACGTCGAGACCACACCCACACCTGCAGCTACCAAGCGCTCGCGCTTCACGAGTCTGTTTACGCGCAAGGACGCCAATCGATCTCAATCGGCCCTGACGCCGCCCACGGGCAGCCCGGCACCGGTCAAGACGCGCTCGGCGACATCCCCCGTTCCGCCGCCCGAGCAGATCTCAGCGCCCGTGCTCGGCCTGCAGTCCACCATATACTCGTCTGTATACCCTCCTGTGGGCAAGAGTCCAAGCTCTATTGTCTGGATCGTGCGCAAATGGATTAAAGGCGCAGACACGAGCCTCCTAGCCAACCTGCGCATCGGCAACTCTGACCGTGGAGGACGCGGCGGCGTCCCACAGCCCACCGTTCGCTTCGAATGGGTGCGCTCGACGGCGCGCTCCAACACGGGCGACACGCACTCGCGCTTTCCTACAGACCTCACTGCGTCGCGCCGATCTTCTCGAATCGCTCCCGCTCCGGCAGAGGAGGGACGCGCACCACCCACGGCCGCCGGCGTCGTAAGCTCCCTCCCGGCCTCCCCCAAGAGCCTCGATTTCTCGTTACCGGAATCAGGTGACCAGCAAGCCCCGGCGCCCGAGACCGCGTCGCACACGGAGTCTACCACGGACGCCGGGGACGAGTCTGACCCTGAAGACTCCGAGACGCCCTGGACGTGCACCCTCGTCATCTCCACCCCAGGCAACGTATCGCCGGCCCCCAGTGGTACGTCCGACCCTGACAAACTCGATACGGTACTGACTTCTGCTGCGCAGATACGTCTCCCTCGCCATCGTCCAGACGCGCATCGATGCTTTCAACCGATAACGCGCACAAGGGTGGCAGTAGCGCGATACGCCTACGCCTCGCGACGCTTGCGCCGACGCCGCACCATCCCAAAGTCGTAGCGCAGCTCAAAATCCCGTGGCCGCTGCCGGACGTGGACGTCATGCAGGGCGTGCTGCACAAACGCTCGCCGCTCGGCCGTCCCGCCTCCGTCGACTCTGGGGCCGGGCCCAGTCTTATCGTCACCGCTGAGGAGATGAAGGACGTCGTGTGCGCGACTGCTTTTTGGATGATCGTGCGCGAGGGCTTTGGCGGCGTCGGTAAGAAGACGCGTAAGGGCGACGGATGGCGGATTCGTGGGTGATTCTTGACTGGCTACCTTTTGCGCTCTCTCCTCCTTGTCGTCTCAAACACCCGACTCTACTGTTCTATACACGCATCGTCAGGCGGACTTGGAGGTCCGCTGTAATTTTCGTCTCTGTTCTCGTCGACTCGTCCCTCCCCGTCTCTCCTTCGTTCTCTCAGTCACAATCAAACCCCAGGACCAACGTTCTTGTGCCAACCTGTTGTATTGCATGCAAAGTGCGCCCCAAAGAAAGAGAAACTGACGTGCGACGGGAAACAAAAACAAGTACATATACAAAATGCAAGAGAAGACCACAGATCTATGAGTGCGACGGCGTTTTACTCCATCACGACTGCTCAAGCAATCGCTTGGAGGCGATGATACGACGCGAGAGGGACGTGACGTTCGCGTCGGCGATGATGACCTCGGCCGTGTACTCGACGCCCACAGCTTGGTGTATGATGCTCGCAATGCGCTCCGCTTGGGACTCGTTCCAGAAGCGGAAGTCGTCTTGCTCGGCGGACTCTTCGCCCGTGGGCGTCGACTGGCCGCACGAAGCGGGGATGAGGAGCGGATCGTTGTTGAGGCACCAGCGAACGATCTGGAGCAGCCACGCGCGTACGTGCGCGAACTCGAGTTGCGGCGGCGGCGCCACTGGAAAAGCATAGTTAGACACGCATGAAATCGCAGAGTCATCTCGTATGACGCACAGTATATCTCCACGGGCCCAACGATGCTCATCACGTTGTGCTTGCCATCGTGGTGGTAGCGCAGCTGTGTGAAGTTTAGTTAGTTAGTTTTCACTCAAGCAGGACGGTGTGCCGCGCGGGAAACAGTTGCTTTACCTCGTACTTCTCGGGCGTCATGGGCAACTTGTCCTGCGCGAAAGTGACCCGGCCAGACACGACACCCTCAGCGCCGTACTGCGTGCCGTCGCCATCGATGCGTGGAGTATCTCCTTGCCACTCCTCGGCATATACGGGAAGCCATAAACCGAGGGACGAGACTTGCGTCACGAGCGTGGATGAATTGGCGCCAACCTGCGGGGAGCGAAGGCGGTCAGCACAACATTTGACAGATGGTCCATGGAGACTCGGGCGTACCCTGTAGATACCTATCCAGTCTTTCCGCGAGTGGTTCGCTGGCGCTTGCCAGGCGATTTCAATAGGCTCGCCGAGGTGGAAGCGGAGGGTTTCCGTGAGTGGCGATGGAACGATAGTCATTTTGTACATCGTCAAGTCGTACTGCGTGATGTCCCGAGCAACGCGCCTGCGAGCGTAGTGTGAGCGGTACACGCACGAGATAATGGTACGTGAACGGCTTACGGTATGACCATACGCTCGCGTGATTGTTGCAAAAGGATCTTCGTGTCGTTCATAACCTCCTCAATCATAGGACGCGCTGTAGCGTATGTGAGCTTCTTCTGCATCTGAGAGCGAGGGTAGTGCAAACGTACACTTAGCCAGGAGCTGGTCCATCGCCTCAGTCGTATCGCCCATAACCTTCTCCAGAGTCTCCTTCATCTCCAACGCGCGACGCTTCAGCTCCGGCGCATGTTTCCCCGCGCCCGCCTCAAGCAGCCTTGCATTGGTCTTCGCAAGCTTCTTGAGCATGCGCGTGAGCCCGGCGTCGCCGCGCACGTTGTCGCCATAGAGCTTGCGCATGTGCGGGGTCTCGACGTTCGTGATGAACCAGCCATGCGAGATGTGGGACACGACGGCGGCGAAGAACACGAGCTTGCTCGAGCTCATTAGCGCGAGACCGAAGAGCGCAGCGCCGCTAGCCGTGCGCTCGGGATTGTTGAGGTATCTAAGGCGAGGTGTGAGCAAAAGCAGGAGGTCCAGGTAAGGATG